TCTGATGTCAGTGCAGGTTTCAAGCCACACCTGTACTGCCAAAGCTGCTGATTTAGGATGCTGGATCAAGCAGAGTCTCATCTGTGGGAAATCAGAAACCTATTCTGGATATTACTGCTGTCGGGATACTATTACTTGGTGTTGTATGCTATGCATTGTTATGCAGGATCTGAAATAATGTAGCTGGTCATCACCAAGAATCAGATGCAAATGATGGACAGAGCTTTTAGTGGGCTGTTACAGCAGTACCCTGAGGATAACCTTCAAGGGTTTATCAGCTGTTCAATTTTCAGTGCTTTGGAACAAACACAAGAAGCAGTTTGTCATGTCATGGTATACTATGCTATGCTATGCTATGCTCACAATAGTGGTGGTCATTCATTCAAACTTTGACATATAAAACACTTGACATACGGACTTCCTGTCATTTTCAAGACAACTAGACAGAAAATTTGTAGTGACATTTCCAATGATAAATGCCCTTATCAGTGTTACCGGTTTATTTAAAAATATGATTTTTATGTTTAAATGATTCATATTTATGTATGAAGATGTAAGAAGAGAATATTTTAACATATGAATATATAATAATGCAAAGAAAAATGAAAATGCATTTAATCTTATTTGACATACATAACATAATGCATTTAATGGCGCAAATGTAATGGCGTTAGCTTTCATAATGTGGGAATGTCGTCTAATTCTCAACCTTTCCAACCATAATCCCACCATTACAAAGTGTGCGTAGCGCCCTCTGTCATTTTTGCCAGCTATGGGGGGTGGGGCTGGTCTCACTGCTAAATTTATGTTGCCGGGGTGTGGGGGTCGGTTTAACCTTCAGTTTTTTGTTTTCTGTATATTTTCAAATATACAGCCCAGCTAGTTTGGGGGTGGGGGGGGTTGGTGTGCACATTGATTTATAGATATATGACATATATTGAATTCTTTTCATTTTCTTGAAAAAATCAGCAGCAAAATATAGAATATACATATATAAATGTAGACAAATATGTTGGTACCCTACCACAAAAAATGTTGAGAAATACGACCATCTCTGAGATAACTTGAAATTAACTGACACAAGTTAAATGGCATCCCATATTATTTATTCCAAATTTAACACAAATCAGAATTTGCTTTTGACTATTGATTCAGATTAAATATATTCAGTGCTTTTAGCTGTATGTTTTTGGTCATTATCCTGTTGGAGGACCCATGACCTGTGATGAGGCTGAGCTTTCTGACACTGGGCAGTATGTTTCGCTCCAGGATGCCTTGGTAGTCTTGAGACTTCATAGTGCCCTGGACAGATTCAAGGTCCCCCAGGCCTAAAACAAAACCCCCTCCATGTTTCACAGTATGTATGGTGTTCTTTTCATTTAAAGCTTAAATTTTCCTTCTGTAAACATAGAGCTGATGTAACTGGCCAAAAAGGTCCAGTTTTGCCTCATCAGTCCAAAGGACATTCTCTCAAAAACGTTGGGGCTTGTCAACATGCATTTTGGCAAATTCCACTCTGGCTTTTTTATGTTCTTCTGTTAATGGTGGAGCCCTCTTGGGTCTTCTTCCATGGAGCCTAAAATTGTTCGAAATACGACGGATGTGACGTAGCTTGACCTTGGAGCTCAGCTTGAATAGTTTTGGATGGTTTCCTTGGCTCTTTTTCTACCCTCCACACTATAGTTCTGATCAACGTGCGGTTGTATTTGTTCTTGCATTCATGTCCTGGGAGGTTGGCTACAGACCCATGAATACTTTTTAATAATATTGACCTTGTGGTCACAGGAACACGAACCTGCTTGGAGATGGTCTTATAGCCATCCCATTTAACATGTTTATCTATAATCTTCTTTCTGAGCTCCTCAGATGGCTCTCTCCTTTGCTTTCTTTGGTGCATGTTCAGTGTGGTGCACACAATGATACTAAACAACACAGTAGCATGTTCTTTCCCTTTAAATAGGCTGAATGGCTGATGAAAAGCTTGAAGACACCTATGATAGTAATTAAGGTTAAACACTTAGCTTGAAACATCACTATAATGCAAAGATAAATAGTCTTTAGGAGTACCAACTAATCTGTCCATACTATTATAGCATATCTTTGTAAAATAAACAACAAATCATTTCTTTTCACAATTCTACTGGGTTACTCTATCACATACTAAAGGTATGCAGGTATACATTAGACAATTGCTTTTAATGAATCACCTTTCAGGAGAAACGAAGCATTGTTTCATTGAGCTGAATACTATTTTCTGAATGCTGTCTAACTAAATCATTTTTTTAAATAAATAAATATTGTTCCAAAGCCATCAATAGTGCCAAAACTCCTGCAAATTCTATTGTTTTTTGGGACAAAGTTTTAGCTATCCCTATATCACATCATTCATCATTCAAACATATCATCATTTAAATAAATCTGTTTGAAGAAACTGTAAGATCTGTCTGAGCCTGACATTCACCACCCTCCCAGATTATTTCTTAAAGCTTTCTTTTCTCAGTCTCATACACTTGCATCCAAGCAGTGAGAAGGGAAAGAACATATAATTAAATTATCGATGTATTAAATATGCAAAATGTTTATTTCGCACTATAAAATATAGAAAATTATACCAAAATGTTGCCATGACAGCTAACAAAACAATACGTGATTGAATGACGTTTCATGATATTTTATCATTTGTTTTTATAATTTGTTTCAAATAAAGGCTTAGCAATCCATTTCATTAACCACTAAATAACGTAATCCAGCAATGAAACTCATTATAGTGAACAAATGCAACTGGTATACATGTCGTTTTAATGTTTATATGCAGTATATTTCAATGTATGCAGTGTTTTTCACATGTTTGGTCTTCATTTGTCTTCTCTTAACTTCCATTAAACTGCACTACTCTGATCGGTTATTATATTATATTATATTATATTATATTATATTATATTATATTATATTGAGTTCCCTCAAGTATCTCAAGCACAAAAACCCTGATATGACGCGCATTTGTGTGTGAGGGGGTGGGGTGGCTCTCAGCTTTGAAGAAGTTCTTTTTTCTCTGATGCACAACACATTCCCAGGTTTATGAAGCCCAGATTCCTTTTTCCCCAAATTCCCTGTGTCACTTCTGTCCTCAAGCAGAACTGGCTTTTCCACAAAGGCAATGATTATTTACAGCCATACTTAATATATTTCATTATGCACGCAGTGACTGTTGCAGCTCATTACGCTTTGGCTGTTGCAGTTTGCAGTGATGTGTATCCCTCATTTGTTTGTGTTGTGACACAGTCCCTGGCCCTTGGAGCTGTGTTAAACGGGTGCAAGACAGGAGTAATGTTCATTCTGCTCTCTAGGGACCCTGTGTTCATTTACCACACAATGAAAATGGTCATTAATGACGGCAAGCCTATCAAACTGGATTTAAGCTAAACTTAAATACATTACAGTTGTTGTTGATATTATCCAAGCATTTTTGTACCCACTTGTCATATTTAGGGTAACAGGGTGTCCATTGGTCTCAGAAGCTACAGGCACAAGGCAAAGAATAATGCAGGATGGGGCACCAACCCATTGCACACACTCACACAGACATACCTAACTCGAGTTCATCTTAGTATGTTTTTGGACTGTGGGGGAAAACTGGAGAACCCAGCAGAACCCCCACATTATGCAGGGAGAACACAGAGCTGGGGCGGAGTCTCGAACCCTGATTTGAGAGGTGTGAGGCAAGAATGCTAACCATATTATATTATATTATATTATATTATATTGACTTTAGGCACTATACCAGGGGTTCTCAAACTTTTTGATCAAAGGTCCACATCAGATTTTTGTTCAAAGTCAGACGTCCGGAACGATTTTCAATAACAAAACAGCATTTCGTGACCTTTAATGAATTGACAGTAATTATTGATATAGACACTGCAACCATGGGAACTTTTCAACACTTGCTGATTGATTAGACTCTCTGAAGGGATTATGATGAGTTATGCGTGTGAGAAGTTTGGTATTTTTGTACTTCAAACCATGTTAAGCCATCTTACATTAACCATTTTGTTTCATAAGGTGCATTATCGGCATGTTCAGATTAACTTGCAGTTAGGTCCGCAGCCTGACCACGGTCCAGACTTTAAGAACCCCTGCACTTTACATTTTCTCCTTGACTCTTATTTGGGTGGAAAAAGTAAAGGTTATCACCTTCAGGAAAATCCCCAACCCCTTGTCAGGTTTCTTGGCTCACCTGTGGGCTTTGAGGATCTCTGAGCTCAAACAAACCCAAGTCCTTCATTCTAAGCCCTGAGCTTCTTAGTGATGGAAGAACTGAAGGTACTAGAATAACTGCTCACTTTCCATGGTTTGTCCCAATATTTTTTAATCTCTGAGTATTGCATGCTGTGCAGCAAATAGAGGTTAAAGGACTGGGCTTTTGATGACACTTGATAACTGGTTCTTATAACGTCTGATGTGAAAATCTCGATAGGTTGGTAGTATAGCGTTGTATGAAATTATTGGAAATAAAGATATAGTAATCTTGGGGATATGATCTGTGACAAACTGTCGCTTTCCCTGTCCCTGGCAGCCATTTCTAAAGCATTTGCTCATTATATCCAAACAATGCAAGACGCTTCTTTACTATGGATAGCACATCTCTGTACAATAATCCCTCCAGTTATGATTTTACCTTAAAACCCTTCATAATCAATAAATACTCCCCGACTTCCAGCCAGTCCTCTTCCCTTCTGTCTTTGTAAAATGCCCTTGTAAAATGTTGACTACGCAAACCTTTTAGCCTGATTTGTTATATTGGTAACCTGCAGCAAAGAGAACAGGAGCCCAAGTGACATAGAAGCAGGCAGGCACAGAAAAGGCACAGTTTTCTCCATTCACTGACTCTGTGAACCCAGTGAGAGAGAAGGAGGGAGGGAGAGAGAGAGAGAGTGAAAGAGAGAGAGAGATTCAGCAGGGGGTGGGGGGGGGATACAAAGAGAGAGTATCTGTTCATCAAATGAACATATCCAGGGAGCAAGCAGCACAGACGAGTCACAAACGGCTGTAATTACCACGGGATATTTTCAATGACAAACCGGATTATAGATCTGAGAAGAAGCACTGAAAAGCAGGATTAGAAGCTCTTGACTTGTGTCTCTGCTTTACAATGGGGATAGACCGGCGCCAGAGAGCATCTCTGGCACTCACCTTGAACTTCCTCGCGCTGCTGTTTGCCGTGTCGGCCCTCACCACCAGCTACTGGTGTGAGGGCACCCGGAAGGTGGTGAAGCCCTTCTGCAAGGGGCCCGTCGCCCTCAAGCAAAGCTTCTGCATTAGGTTCAATAGCTCCAACCTCAATGACAGCAGGCTGGTGCAGTACATCTGGGAGACTGGGGAGGACAAGTTTCTTATGAGGAAGTTCCACACTGGCATCTGGTTCTCATGTGAGCAAAATGTCAACATGATTGGTAAGAGACCTACAGCTGCGCCTAATACATTTCATGAAGCAAACTTAATTTATGAACGTTACACTCTTCTATTTATTTATGCTTATTTAGTAGAAATTTAAAAAACGTTCAACAAATTAGGCTGTATGTAGGGTGTCTCGTATTGTCTTGCATTTACACATGGTTTTGCTCAGTGAATGCCACGCAACTTTGGTAGGGAGAAAAAACAACTTCACTGCATTTTAAATTACTTTAAAATTGTAGTCTTGAAACAGTGAATATTTTTCTGGGATCCGGATTTATGAATTATGTACTTTCTATTACAAAATTACAAAAACAGACCAATGGAACGATTATAGATCTTGTATGCATCACAAGGACTGTGCAGCACAAATTCTACAAACCATGAACATAAGCCCTTAAATCTGGCACAGCAATTGTCTGATTTTGAACATATATATATGTCAAATGTAATGGAGGATCATAAACAAATGAAGAAAGGTTTTTTTACTTCTAGCTGATACTTCATACTGTACTTTAATTCATTAATAAACTGAACGTCTGTTGAACAGGAAGAGGGAAATCTAAAGCAATGGTAAGACATCATTATGAATGAAACTACCCGAAATGTGCAATTTATATGTGACCTTCTTTCAGGAGAGAACTGCAGAAGTTTTTTAAATATTGCACCTTCACACGAAAGAGGTATGTATTTCTATCCAAGTTACATAATTCTTATTTTAAGATTCATTTGTTAATCAGTTGCTGAACATTTTCTATTTGGTGTGCCTATTTTGCAACCTAATTGATTTCTGACCCTTTTACCCTATTTTATTTTTTTTATGTTTTACTTTTACTAGTTATATAGACTTACGTATGATATACTGCAAATGCTTCAATACATTTGTTATCCATATGAAATATATAATACAATTGAACAACATGTGGTTTAATCTGTGAACCATTTGAAAATGCAATTATATTACTGAATGCAATGGTTGAGTTGATTTAGTGGCCAATCGAGGGGCACAACTCTGTGTAAACAGTTATAAGATATTTCCGTTTTTAACTTAATTACATCCTCTGTCTGGATGGATCATGTGGTAAAATTTTACAACTGCTAAAATTTTACTAGGATAATTAGAGGCACGTATTCCTTTTTTAATTCCCATTGAGTACTAATAGTTACTGATTACTGATATTATCATATTACAGGTTATTTTCTTGCACATAACACAGTTGTGCAAAATTCTCTTTTGAAAGTACAAGAACATCTGCAATTACATGTTCAAAATATAAACAAGATGAAAATGAAACAAATTTCTAGCGCAAATTTCCACAAAATAACAACTGATCAGTATACTGATATCTCTGAAGGTATATTAATATAATCAGTTATGGGACTGTTGGTACTGTAATCTGTATGTGAAATGCATCTGTACTTGAGCAAATTGGCTTCATTTTATTGCCTTCTGGTAGAGAATATAGCTACATCAGTAGAATAAAAATTAGAAAAATTAATATAATCAGCAAAATTTAGTAGACAATTGTTAGGAATATAATAAGCACACAATGAACAGTTATTATATAAGCTAATGTGCTTGATTAAAAAAACCTACAAGTGCACTACGCTACATCATGCTTTGATTTACAGATGTGCCTGCATTAAGGAATAATAAGTGAATGTGTGAGGCCAATTCATTTCTGGGCCGAGAAGAATGCAGGGATCGAGCCCATCAGCACTGCTTTACACTGGAGGCAAAAATAACAGGGATAGCATGTGGTGGAAAAGCAAGTAAACCTGACGACCATTTTTACAAGACATCCATTCATGATTGGTATAACCGACAAAATGCCATATGGTCCTGTGTTAAAGCTGTTTTATGGATGTCTACATGCAGATCGCTGCACGCGGCCTGTTCGCACCAAAGAGAGAGTGATGAGACCATCAGTACAACCTGGCAGTTCATTAGCAAAAATCTCAAAAGTATCACGACGCCCCACTGCTCTTGCTGCTTTTAGGCGCTCATTTGTGCGTGCAATACTGAATGTGTTCTTTGGCTTTTTACTTACAAACTGCATTCATTAAGTTTATGCATGAAATATTGATCTAAAAGCCAACAGGATTTGGGATTGCAGGGTTTGTAGCAAAAATTGTTGTCAAAAACGCACCAACACGTTTCAAGCCAGTACAGTCACCAGAGACCAACAGTCTCCTGTATTGCTACTATTATGCACCAATATAAATAACATTCCAGGAGATTTAAGAAATTAAATTTGCTGGTGAGAAGAAGCTGAGGGAGACAGAATATGCAAAAGTACAACATTTTAGAATGGACAGATAGTATACAAAAATATCCAAGTTCATGAAGTTAAAATTTGCACTTTGGTTAATAATTTGGGAGACTTTGGTATTATAACAAAGATTTTTAGAGAGCTTTAAGTGCCCTTCGATGTGCTTCCATATCAATACCTAATTTCAGTGAGTAAATGGTCCGAATGAAAAGCATACTGTTTTTTACAGTGTTGGGTATCTATAGACTTAAAATAAAAGGAAAACTCTGTTAAAAGCCATCTTTCTTGTCACTGGTAATTTAGCAGAGGGCCAAGGTAAGGGCTGTAAGCTGTCTCCCATAACATGGGGAACTGCTGATAAAAAGCTACGAAAGAATTAATTCGGGTGGAATATGCATCCAAGTATACAATCTCCTGATTGGGATTCATAGCCTGAAAGATCTGAACGTCAGCTATTTTATTCTGAGCATTAAAAAAGGCATAAAGTCATATAAAACAGATGGAGTTTTAAAAAGGTGGACTGTGTAAGCACGAGACATATCCAAATGAACAGCATGGACCAATTTTATGTTATGTTACAGATTTATTCAGCCTAAATCGAGTGGAAAATTAGTTCACAGCAATGTCCCAATGTAAAATTCAATAACAACGCATTATCAACCATTAGAGTAACCATTAAAAGTACTTTTACGTACCACAAAATTTACAGGTGTCATATATATATATATATATATGCATGAATATCTGTTGCTGCAGTTCCATAGGTATACCTATGATCTTCAGCTGTTGTTGACCTCATGTGTGATGTTTTTCAGCAAAATAATATTTATCTTAGAACACTTTCTGCTGTGTTCTGCTTCCCTATGAAGTATAATAATATTATGATGATTACACAGCAGTTGTATGTTTTAGTAAATATGTTACATGGTTATGCTTTCATGAGTAGGAGACAGGAAATAGAAGAAAAGAGAGTTGGTGTGTTGCATTGTTCACTGACAAAATGGCCTTGCATGGTTTCTTCGACAAAGAACTTCTGTATAAAGCGACCAGCATAGGCAGATTAAAATAAATGTTAGTAATATTTTTCAAAAATTCTGCCTATGCAGGCTATAAGGGTTGTTATACCAATGATTACAGAGGGTCGTCATGGAGCTCCAGTTGATCATTCCATCATTGTTCACTTTAAACGAAATTGAAGGTTTTAGCTTTTCTTCTAGGTTATTTCCCAAGCTGAGGGAAATAAATGGGTGTAGGAATCTCTGTGATAAGACCCAAAGATGTCATCAACATTTACTGAATACAGACTGCCACAGAAGGGACCTGTGATGCCAGGGCTACATGTGGCTGTATCTGCTTCATAAACAAGATCTATACTCAGAAGTGCCGCTAGAAATCTCGGGCCCCATGAAAGCATTTTGTGGGCTCCCAACCCAGACCAATCCAATTATGTTCTAAAATTTTTCACTCAGGGGCCCTTGAAATCATCTTAACTTTCGTCCCCTTTACAGCACCCCAGTCAATGCCAACATCTACCCATAATCCAAATGCTTGTCTTGTTCACATACGGCCTAGAGCCCGTCCCAAACTGTATAAGGTACAAGATAGGCGTACGCCTTGTGTGGGACTTCAAGCAATTGATGGGTGCGCGTGCACACACACACACACACACACACAAACAAGCACACACATTGCCAGCAGAATCGCAACAAAAATGAGCCTAAATGCCAATGTCTTTCGACTGTTGGTGAAAACCAGACTATGTGGAGAGTCTCCGAAAGTCAAACAGACGCGCACAGAAAGCAGGGTTACCAACCTCCCGCATCTGCCGTGACACTCACTGTTTCAGACTGTCCCGCAAGCAGTCTTACGGCAAATCTATATTATTCCATTATGAACCTAAAATTAGCAACATCAGTTGGGGTAGTTCGCAAACCCTACAGAATATTTACAAGGTAATAAAATATTGAAAAACACTGAAAATTGAAAATGTCACTCCAGCCAGCTGACTAAAGTTGGCAACCCTGGGAAAGGAGCGTGTGTCTCTCGACGTGACGTCATTGTGTTTAACTGTGGTTTTAAAATGTTGAACATTTGAATGTGACCAGCATGCAAAATCCTGGTTTATTTCTTTGCGATACAGTGTACTGGGATTTCAAATATTGGGCTAGTTTCAGCTTCCATTGGGCAGATTTTAAGCAGATTTTTGCTGGACCTGACGACACATGAGGGGACGACCTACCCGATACTGCGTACACATGCATCCTCCACATGGAAATCAGGGGCTCAAACACCCAGCTCTGTAACTGCAAGGCAAAGGCATTGCCCACATAGCCGCCATTCCACCCAGTTCATGTGCTAATATTCCAACCAGGATTAGCGAAGGAATGCATTTTCAATGTGAAAATATAAAGAACTGCCATCATCTGTATAGTATAATTGTAAATATTAGACTAAATTTGTCAAAAGCAATCTAACGTTGAAGAGTGTCCACAGTGTAAACTCATAATCTGCCAACAAAGCCCCATACAAGACAATAAGTTACCACATTAATAAAAAATAAATTCCACTGCATTTTATATTGCTATATCTACAGGGATCAATTTCATATTTCAGTTGGCTTCATCGATTTGAAAAAAAAAAATGACACAGTCCAGCTGGCCACAGATCTCAGTATCGTTAATAGACGACCACAACTGATCTTACAAGTCACCGTGCTGGAAGAAGATCTGCTTACTAAAAGTGTTCTTGATGTTTCGCAGGGGTCTTGTGGTTGTGCATTGTTGCGGAATGCCTCTACATTGTTCTGCTGTCGACGGGAGGGATCCTCATGTCAATAGAAGTCTGCTACTACAGCAACGTCATCGATGGCCTCAAGCTCAATGCCTTCGCTGCAATATTTACTGTCCTGTCAGGTAACAGCCCACCTCTTCTTGATTTTATCAGAAATAAATTGCCGCTGAGAAACCTGTTATATTTCGATTAGGGCTGAGAATCGATTTTAAAAATAATAATAATTAATTAATTGCAGTTTCCTGTGATTAAACATAGCTAACATTCAACATAAAGTCAAATATTTACACACTGAAAGTCTAACTTAATGTACAATTAACACAATGGGAGTATTTGGGTCATTCTCACAAGCTCATTACTATAACATAAATTTTCTGATTTTAAAAACAGAAGCCTGACAACGACTGAAAGTGCACTTAATAACATGAAAGATCTTACGTTTTTCATTAAAAGTCTTCAATAAAATAAAGCAAATATTGCAAATTACGGTATTTTTCTCCTATGTATGCCTCTTTCCGGCAGCTTTTAAAAGCAGAACCAGGTGATGTCAGTCTATCTGTGAGACACTAACTGAATGCTTTGAATCCTGGGATTCTGCGCAATGTCATGACCTAAACTCTAGAGCTGTTTGCTCATACTATTCTCAAATCTGGATATCTAAGTACTGTACACCTTAATTTCATCAAAAAAAATTATGCATTATGACTTTAAAATGAACACTTAATGCAATACACTTCCTAGCCCTCAATAAGACAGTTTCATACAGTATACTTAAACACTATTGACTCATTTAATTCTTTCATTCAAAACTCCACTACTTCTTACTGAAATTCTGTTCATTTACGCTGAGGCAATTCACGCTAAGTGCAGTGTTCATGCGTGCGATGCTTTACCCTTGACAGAACCTTCATAACAATGTAAGCATAAAATATTACAAACCTATTCAGCCTGACTATCCTGGCTGAGCGTTAAGCAACTTACTGTGTGCGGCATTTGATGTACTTTTGTTTACAATGAAAAGACTAAATTATAATTAAAAGAAAGTAAATTAAGTTTCTTGCTCATTTTGTAGTTCTGTAGTTCTCTAACCCTAACCCTAAACCTAACCCCAACCCTAACCCTAAACCTAACCCTAACCCCCTAGCCTGCCCCAGTGACAATGACCACACATTGTCATTTTGTGCATTTGGTTAGGATGAAATGACCCCATTGTTCGTAAAACAAGGTTGTAGTACACCACATTTTTAAGGGAACGTGTTGCTCATTTTATTCTATTCGTTAGTGTTTTTGAATTTCAATTAATAGTGAAATATTCTCCAGCGTTGGCATTTAACACAAATTTCTCATAATAAATGTAGATCACACTTCATTCTAAAATATAAGCTGAATGATCTGAAAATATAGCGTCATATAGTGTTTTCTTACAATAGATTTAACTATTTTGCATGGCGATACACGGCACACCTGACATTAGTAGTATAGCTCTGCAAAGAAGGGAAATCATGTAGCTCTTTTGTTCCTTCTACACTTATTACTCTCTGCCAGACCAATATACTGTATGTGTTATATTATGTGCATGTTTTATTAGCCAATGGGAAATGACTTTGATAAGCTATAAATGAGACAGGAAACAATCTCCCCAAGGAATAAGACTATCCATGCTCTACTAGTTAAAAGTAATGTAAAAGTAATGATGTTAATATCCATACACTGCATTTTATCGTTCTCATTTATGATTAAAGAGACAGATGATGCTTTGGCAGGTCCCCAAAGGCTCTCTCTTAACCACACAGGGAGTAATAGAGAGCTGTGATATGCTGTAATTAATTCTTCCACAGTTGTCCAGGCCTTTGTCCAACGGTGGCAGGGGAGAGTCACAAATATGGGTCTAGGACAATCCAAAGGAGGCACAGCACCAAAAGAAAACAGAATGTGATTAAAAAAATACCTTAAATTTTTTCTGATGAATTTTATAGCCGCTGCATTTCCATTCAGCTGAACGCATTCTTAACTGATAATCAGTACATTTCAGCATATTGATTAGCATTTCCAGTCCTTGTTGTCTTCTCTTTTGAACATTCTTTTTGCATAAATTCCATTCCACACATCGTGGTAGATTATGCTCGCGATTACAGACGTAATTTACTAGCAGGTACCATCGCACTAAGTCAGAGTATTAACAAATAGAGATATGCTATAGCAGGGAGACAAAACAGAGAACACTGGAAGTGGTGCACAAGGGAGAGAAATCAAGAACTGAGAGGAGCTGATTGGTATGCTCTGGCCTCATTCTGTGGGTTGCAGGGCTTATGAACTAATCGGATTTATTCAGGAATTGTTGTTTTTAGTACATGACAAAAGCTGGTGAGGAGACAGCCCTCACCCAGGTACTGCGGGGTAGTATATCCATACCCATGTTATTCAACGTCTCCTGGTACTACAGTCCATCTCTGAGCTTTTGCTTCAAAGAGCTTCACCACCCATTGTCACTAAAACATCACTGTCTTCTCATTTTTGTTAATTTGGATGGAAGATCTGAAAAAGACGCGCACATTTTTATTTGTTTTAGTGTAATTTTTTTAAAAAACATGTTTATTTCTACCAACTTGAAGATTAGCTTTCATGAGTTAATGATAAATGTCTTTAGCATGCATTATGAACATAAACGATGCATAACTCCCAAACAATAAACACCTGTATATCTCTGAATCCTGCTGAGGGTTATAAGACCTCCTGTTTTCATTTTGATATTTCAAACTGCACTGAACATTTATTTTATCATAACATTAAAGAAGAATCGGTATCTGTCTGGACAAATATTCAAGCATGGTTTTACATTCTGTATCTTTCTTATGTTTTTGCTTCTTTGTAAACAAACTTTGACGTAGTACACTATCAAGTGTTCTGAGAGTAGCTTTTTTGCAGCATAAATGAATCATCCACTACTTTTTTTTTAAATAAATGAAGTACAGTAATTAAATGTTTTATACTGTACATCACATTAACACATGAAACAAAGATATTGAAATTCTGTTTCTTTGTAACTTCGTGTTGCTTAAAAATGAAAAGTGCATATGAGGAAGGGATGGTTTTGTAGTTGTTAGTGACCGTTTCAAGTTTAAGAACGGTACCTTAAACAGATGTGATCCAATACTGACACCTTGTGGCGAAAATGCGAGATGTACACTAAAGGTTAAATCTAATGAGGGAATATTGAGTGACAAAAGATCCTTGAAATGAATTGTTTTTATTATTATTTTTGCATAATTTAGACATTTAAGTCTTCAGAATTTACTTCTGTGATTATATCTTTCCAACTGATTTTTCAGTGGCTCCAGGACAGGAAGAAAATTAACGTGATTAGAACGATAAAGACATTGATATTATAGGATGTAAGTTATTCACTGAGTGAAGCATGCGTCATAGAGCAAAGCAGGTTATTAGTTTATCCTTGCGTCTCAGGTCTCCTAGGAATGGTAGCGCACATGATGTTTACAACAGCCTTCCAGCTAACAGTCAGTCTCGGGCCTGAAGACTGGAAGCCACAGACTTGGGACTACAGCTGGTCTTACATGTAAGTTGCCATTTCTTCTACACCTTCTACACCTCATTATCGGACCTCGACAAAAAAAAGCCATGATTCTTCTCAGAAAAGCTTAGAATCTTTCCCATGATGTTTCCAAATATCTTGACATTGAGATTAAGATGCCATAATTACAACTCATTAAAGGCAAAACACCATGCAGTATTTAGGACACTGTGGACACCAAGTATTGTACCAGACTGATTGTGTTAGTTTTCAGTATAAATAAAGTGCAGTGACTATTTGCACCAGGGTAAAATTAGTCACACGGCATCTATTCGGCTATTTACACCCGGCCTCCTGACTCCCTGCCCCACTGGCTCCACAACAATAGGGACACTGTATTTCAGGCATGGTTGCATGTATCTTCAATGGCAGAAAGTGCCAAAGTGGGATACAAATGTAAAAGGTAGAGTACATTCAACACGAAATGTACCCTTGTTCTAGCAACAGTTAGCTGGCTGAAGGCACCTGGTAATCTTGCTAACTAGCCTTAGCATTATGTGTAACACATGGGGGGAAATTTTAGCTTTTCGGGGGGGTGCGATAAAAAAGAAACTGTGCAGATTCAATAGCATTAGCAATGAAAATTTGTAAACCCCTTTCCTCTTTCTCATGACAAATGCTGACACCTGAGTGCAAATAGCATATGCCTGCTGTATTCACCCGGGTGCAAATAGCATTGTTGGCTGCTGACACCTAAGTGCAAATAGCATCTGCCTAAATAAAATGCAACTGTAATTGTGCAACAACAGGAAAAAAATATTTGAAATATAAAACAGGATTTTAAACAGCTTTGGTGTGCTGCAATAGGATTTATAAATCATTTGGAACCAGTATGTTGAAAAACATTCATTTCCTCTCTGTGAAATATTTAAAAATTTCCAGCTGACAAAAAGAAAGGTGAAATGGGAATCAGGGTATTTATTATTAAAATTAGTGTGATAATGGATATTTACAGCCATGTCTATAACCTGTGAACAATTTCCCTGACAGAGTAATTGTGAGTTGAGTGAGTATCAGTGTACATGACAAAAAGCTACTCCACCGCAGGCATGGCTGAACAAGACACGTATACCTTAAAATGTACGCGCTCCTCTTCACACTCTTCTTCATGAACTCTCCCTGTCTCAGTTTAGCATGGAGTTCCTTCACTGCCTGCATGGCCTCATCCGTGACAACAATCAATCGGTACACAAAGACTATCTTGGAGTTCAAGCACAAACGAAAGAACATTGAGAAGAACCTGAAGATCAAGCAGAAGCTGCTTGACTTGGATTCACCAGACCAGGTGTGGGACATGTATATCAGCTCGGTGCCCAGCACCGCAGAGGAGTTCCTCGACCTCTCCAGCAACACTCGCAAGCTATCTAATGCCTCCATCTTTCTAGATATAAATGATCTACCTGATCATCAGGTGGAAGAGTACTGCTGAACTGCTTTTTGAGGGGGTTAGACTTTTAGATGTGTCTAAAAGAATATTCAAATGATGATGTCTAATCTTGAACCCTTGTTTCATGCTGTGTGCAAATGTTGAATTTGACTTCAACTGAAACAACAGGCAATTACTTATTATTTTTTATGTTTTTCTTACCAATGTATGATTATTTATTTATTGTCTTGCATTTTGCAACTGGAGACAAGTTGATGTTGAACTTTATGGATGTAGCTGTATGTGAGTATTGCTTATATGAGAAAATGCCTTTTGTAAATGATAAAAGGCAATAAAAAATGTTGCTCTGAGAATAAAGCTGATAGATTATTGATGTTAGAAAAATTGCAAAGGAGCCGACAATAGATTGAAAATGAAGTGTTTTTTTGTTCTAAAAAATATTATTTTGTGTTTTATATGAGAGCTATAATGGTTTTTGTGACATCATGTATTTTTCTTCTTGAAAATACTTTATTCAAATTATGCATTAACATCTTTTATTTTCTGCTGTGAAAAAAAGTATAGTGTGTTAAGTGCCTTTGCTTTGAAATTTAAACATCGTTGCATGTTCATTATAGTGAAATTGAAAAATGAAGTTATTAAATATTTTAAGGCCTGGTATAAAAGGCAAATTTATGGATTTTTAATGACATTTCCATCTAATGTGGTTGCAAAGCTGTCCTTGAACCCCCCCCGAAACAACAAAGGGCTGTGTATCGCATTTTTTTAACATTCATAGTCTCATGAACATTATCAGGATGATTCACGAAGAATACGAATATTAGTGTGATAAGCAATAAAGTTACATGGACAAATTAATTTTTAATTTTAATAGACATTCTACAAAGACAGTGACTACAGAACGCTAACTATACTGTTAGCTTTTTTTATGCAAAGAACAAGATTTTACAAATAAGATGCAATGTATTTTCTTCCCATCCCTCACAGAACGTTAGACTTTAATATTGCCTGAAATATCAGAATGAAAAGGTGTTTAGTTTCATAGGTCACATTAGTAAAGCAACACATATTTATTAAAAGAAGAACCCAAAACCACAAAAATAAAAACTTAATTACCCAAGTACTTACTATATACAATAGGGATGGAACAGCTGCAAAGCTTGCTGAGGAACAGCTTCATGAAGACAATTTCAGGCACAAAATGATTGACATGTTTCAGGAAAAATGTATTCTTCAGGAGCTTATTTATAAATCATGCCAGTTGTTACAGTGTTTCTTGCAATCCATGTTAGCTTAACTTCCACCTTCTGTCCCTACAAATGATTCAATGGACTCTCCATTAAGTTTGCTACTTTTCACCCTCAGATGGATCATTTTGTAGACATGTACAATGTGGAATTATAATCAGTGTAATACGGCAGGGTTACAGTAATTGGCCAACACTTAGTGCACACAGTTATCTTCCAGCTTGTTTTATTAAGCTTCCAGTTACCAGTAACTAAATCCACCTACTGTATCAAAATTATTATTTTTTTTTATTTCTTTTGCTTAATTATAGTGTCATTTAGGAATAATGTTCTAAATATTGTTTCTAGAACAGCTCCTATTTTGAACCTTGTTTGTACTTTGTAATAATCGAAGTTAAGTAATTATGGGTGATAAAAGCTGTGTTCTTTATTTATACAGTTAAATTGTCTAATGGATTTTGTTATTTGTGTCAACAGACATTAAATATATTCTGTTGTGAGTATTTCTGCCTCATTTTAAATTACAAAGCTGACTAAATCTAAGCTATTAATTATCACAGCTTTTATATTTGTATAATTACATGAAGTGGATCACTACACTTCTTTTGTTTCCTTGTTTTTTGTCATTGTTCATCAAGATGACAATTTTAAGGAATTTTAATGACAGGGATGGCATAGAGGTCTTTTAACTCTTTGCATATGAATCATCTCAACTTCATAAGTTTTCATTTTACAAATTAAGTAATTCGGGTCTCCTGAGCATTACGGTCTTCTGAGCATTACAGTCCCCCGATTAAAATTCTTCCTGTTCTGCCTAAAACTGAGATTGATAATGATTTTAAAGTCAGCACTTCAGTGGAAACAAGAATTATATGTGGAAAAGACCTTTATCTGAGGAACAGAATAGTTATATGAAGTAGTAAGGATAGAGTTAAGCACTGACACAAGGAAATAACCAACCCAAAATGGCCTTGTACTGCCTTAGGATTTATCCAATTTATGCGAGCACTGATCACCTGGGAGTAAGTGGGGTTCTGCAAATCCAATCCAGAAAAATATAAATGGATCATGTTTTGGAACGCAGGTGTGAAATCACGTGCTCCATTTAATACCGTAATACAACTTTTCCACCCGGAGGGGGCGCCAAAGTTTTGCAAGTCATTTTCTCATACTTCTTCATGAGTCATTGATTCCTCCGAGACAAAAGGTGCTCATCGCACAGCCGTTCATTCAGGAGCCTTGCAGGCACGTGTGGGAGGACTGGGAGGGGGTCCTTCACAAAGAAGGAAATCCTCCAATACTCTGGTGGAAAGAATTTTTTTTGTGTGTCTCTATATAAAGAATTATGTATACAGGTAACTAACTGCAAGTGAAGTTGCCCTGAATCAAGAACATAACTGTTTTGTCCATAAGAGGTCACCAGAACCTCTGTTTGCAAATCAGGATATTCTTAAATTCTGTGTGACTATATCAGTGATAATACGACAGCGGTACATTGGAACATGAACTTAATTCGCTCCAGAAGGCTGGTCGAGTTGTGATTTGGTCAAGGTCCAAGTCGAATTTATTCATAGGAAATAATTTAAATGAAATTTAAATGCAAGTTTTAGCAGGAACGGTCAGGTTCCCAGATTTCGGTCGAGGTGCAAATCGAAAATATGCGACAGACCCGTTGGTCCAGTTAGGTGCTCGAGTTGCAAGGTTCTACTATATACTTCAAAGCCTTTGAGTATGATTTAGCCAGTGGAACGCAGATTGTGCAGCTTTATAAAACAAATAATAAAATTAACTAGTTAAATCCCTCAACTTACAAATCATCACATTAAAAAAATCCAGGTTCTTGTTTACATAATAGAGACGTCAAATATCTTTTTAATATATAGTAGGCGTTCTGATAGTTATAGCAATTTTTGTAACACTTTCTATGTATGTCAGGCATATTAGAATCTTCACACATTCATTCAAAATGCATTCATAAAGCATTATGAGCATGGCTAAATATTTATAAAAAGAAATAACACATTATAGCCATGGTTATTATTCATTATATGAATGATTAATGAAACTCTCATCCATAATGCATTACATAGATACCATAATAATGCAGTACAAAGCATCCTTAATTCTTATACCAACCATTGTAATGCACTATGAAGGAAGATTCATTGGAGCTTATGAAGTATTATAATCAACACTATAATGCCTTATAACTGTCAATATAGAACATGCTGTGATGTTTTATTAATTCGTTTATAGGCCCTTATAATATATTATGAATATATCTATAATGAATTATAGATGACAGCTTTAAAGAAAGTGTTACCGTAATTTCTTGTGTACAGTTCAATCAGAGCCTTCTTGATAACACAGCAATGCATGGCAACAAAATTACAACAACAAAAAAATAAGTATTTGAATTTGCAGATGAAATTAAGTTGTTAGCGCACCCCTAATGAAGCTTATGGCTTTCGTGCTGATGAGATATGGATTTTGCCATTTTAATTGATGCTGCAGAGGCTTTGGGTTCCTGGGGAAAGCAAGATTGCGTTAGTGCTAAATGAGATTGTGACAAGATGATGCAGTGAGACTCGGCCTGCTCTGTGCTTCCGAGGGCCACTTTCATTTGAATTAGGTTTTTGTCAGGGATGGATTGGGCAGGGAAAAAAGACCTAAAATTAAAGTGTGTGTGTGTGTGTGTGTAATTATTACATTTACATTGTGGGGACTAGATTTAACCACGATGTGATATAAACCTAGTATTTTGACATTGTGGGGACCATTTATTTGGTCCCCAGAAGAGCAAACTAAATTTTAAAAGAATATCAAAAGTTGTGCATTTTGTTTAGTTATACTTATGGTTAAGGTTAGGGGTTGTCATTGTTGTGATTAGGGTTTTTCCCATAGAAACGTGTGTGTGGATTGTGTTTATATTGCGTTGTGGGGGACCACAAAGAAATTAAGACCTGTTATTTTGATGTTGTGGGGATCATTTTTCAGGTCCCCGCAAAGATCTGAAATGTATTCAAAAAAGTAAAAATGCCAGAAGTCTCATATTTTGTTTGGTTACTTAAGTTAAGGTCAGGGCTGGGTAGGGGTTAGGGTTGTCTAAGGTGGGATTAGAGTTTTCCCCATAGAAATGAATGGAGAGTCCCAACAAAGATACAATTACAAACCTGTGTGTGTGTGTGTGTGTGTGTGTGTGTGTGTGTGTGTGTGTGTGTGTGCATGAGAACATGTCCTGTAGTCACACTCTAGCAGTACGGTGGCCCTGAAATCCACAGAACAGAACACAGTAAGTAAACACACCAAAATTAGGAAAATCTAAAATATTCAAAAAAGGTACATAAATTTAACATAAAACACAAAAACTAAGGAAATGCAAAACACAAAAAAATGCAAAAACATAAATAACACACATTTTTTTCCTCAGTGTTTTTGTGTTTCCTTACATTTTTTTCCATTCTCCTGATTTTCTCCGTGCTTCCTCAAAGCCGCGTGTTTTGCAGATCAGACCTGCCGTGGAGCTGCCTAAGCACTGTGGCCACCCAGGGTCAGACTTTCTTACCGTAAGCCTCCAGATGAAAGAAAGCAGGGTTTAAACATGGCATCTGTGCCTTCCTGCCCAGCATGCTGTTTTATCGGAGACCATTAAATCCGTTGTTCTTGATCTGGGGACAGCTGGTGTCCTCTCAGCGTTTCAGCTGTGCCCCCCGCCCCCCCCCCCCCCCCCCCCCCCCAGCTTGCTGAGTTACAGTACAGCGTTACACTTATCGAGAAAGAGTATTCCTGCTGTTTTTGTCTATGACATTCTATGCAGAAAATGCATGCATATCATATTTGAGTATACAACTAATATATACATGAAAAGACAAGCTGCAAATATATTATATTATATTATATTATTATATTATATTATATTATATTATGCAATCATATAATTATAATTCACATATAGCACCCAAATGTGCTTTCCTTCTAAACAGGTGATATATTACAAAGGGTATTTCTTAATGTTAAATTTTGGACCAGATCTTAATCAGGTTCCTCAACAACAGCCGAATGACTAGGACTCGTCTGTGCTGAATATGCTGGTTAATGGTCCATTAAATGTGGCAGATTTTGAAGCAAATCAGGCATTTAATTGTCCCATAGCATCGAATACCAGCCACTTCTGGTGATATATAGCACTTGAGGAAAAAATGCTTGCAACGGATTTATGACAGATTACAAGAAAGTTAAATAAAACCTCAGCATGTATTAGGTGCGTAGTGTGGAGACCGGGCTTAAAAATGACAGCTGTTGGGACAGATTTTATAATAGAAGTGAGTTTTCACATACTTATCATTAGCTCCTGTCCTTCTTCCAGTTACTTATCCAGCACAAAGTATGGGGCACAACGCAGGGGCATAACCTGGATGGGAATCCAGTTGATCAAAGTAACACACACACGCGCAACGGAGAACTTTGAGATGCATGTTTTGGGACTGCTGGAAGAAACCAAGGCGCACAGAAAAAGCCCAGACAGTACAGTGAGAGCATGCAAACTCCACACACACACGGAGGCAGAATTCAAACCTCCTACTAATGGCATCTCTTTGTAGTTGTTAATTTCTTTGCACTCATCACTTTTCCTAGCAAGCTAACTGGGAAAAGAGCCATGCCATTACAGAAGCGTATACACCTGTGTGCGCCCTGAATTATGAATGCCCTTAAAGTTCAGTCGTTAATGGGACTACTTGAAAGTGGACCCAAAGGGAAAAGTGCCCAATAAGAAAACCTTGCATCTGCACTGTTCATTCTTACCCCAAGGCCCTCTGCTACATTGTAACAGAAGTTGATTTAGCACAATGGACCCATTAATGTTTATGCACCCTTGACTTGATGACCACTTTACCTTGAATCCCCACTTCCCTCTAATCTCCCAGCTAATACACAAAAGGTGTTGCCATCTATGAGCCTTTATTTCCTATATTTTCTTCAGGCATCTTTGTAGCTGTGTTTTCGTATGTGTGTGTGTGTGTGTGTGTGTCAGTTTGGAAACACTGCTGTGATTGTGATGTTACTCAGAATTCTAGTCAGTGCTTATTTTTAGTATTAGTGTACAATCACATACACAGAAAGAGAAACATTTTAATTTCCACTCTTTTTTAGCCCTTTATTTTTTTTCTTTGCCACTCTAATGAGCAGCATCATATTTCTTTGGGAACTAATCTTCAAACCTAATAAGCCATTTGAGGCTGCGAATTACGTGGTAATGTGAATCACCCTCATCATGAGTCCCAGAAGCATAAGTTTTCTTCCAACAGTTTTTAAAAAATATCCCAGACACTGGAACAGACAATATTGTGCATCACCCCCCCATAATACATTAATGATACATATGTACATGACAACCATTTAAAGTTTTTTTTAAATGCATTAGTGTTTTCTACCAGCAGATACAAATCAAAGTACAAGAGAAGGTGCAACAATGTCCTGGATCGCGCTGCTCTCAGCACGTACTGGACTGAGATACGCAGACTACAGTGTCAAGTAAGGGCAAGGAATCCATGCTGTGCAACTGCCTTCACTCTTCACTGGCTTGTCGGCCTCACGTGTTCTAGATAATTTTGCAGCTTTCTCTGTTTATGCAACTGGACTTTTTTTGCTGAAATTGCTTAGGTGTTTATGGATGCAGAAGAATACTTTATTGGTGTTAAACCTACAGTCTTCTGCTTACAAATACAGCACCTTACTGCAAACTGCCATACATGTAGCTGCATATCTGTTGCCCTTGTTGGTATTTTGGGTTACAGGAATCATTTAATATTTTTATACAGCCTTAATTACAATGGTAGAGCACTTGGATACATACAAACCTTTCGCATTTATTGATACAGGCTATAAAGAAAAACACTAATCTGCAAAGGCAAAACACAGCAACAACTGTGACACTGAAACTGAGAAAAAGGTCTTCAATGATTTTTGACTGTCCACCTGTATGTGCAGAAGGCAGGTTAACAACAGTGTTTTGTTCCAGATTGAGCATAGCTGAACTAAGATACTTAGTCATTAGATAAAAAGCAGAGCCTGGAGATAAAACAGATACAACTTTGGTCATAACTGAATCGCTATAAAATATGCAGTTACGGTGTTTTGCTTTTCCACGACAGAAGTATTACACGGCTATTCTATTCTACAGCTATTCTGTTGTTTTTTTATTTTTTTCTTTTACTGATGTGTATATCCTGGACTGCAAATGACAACTCACACGTTCGGAGGCAAACGATAAGATTTTTAGTGACTGGTTTCATTCTGAAAGCTTTTAATCAATTTTTTAGTAACCTTGACAATGCATATCAGAGAAAATGACTTGTAGAATTACCACAAAGTCATCAAGACAGACACCTCACACAGTCTTAATGGATTTCATACACAGTAGAGGGGGTGTCACATGAATTATCTACACACGTTATAAAATGCCCCATGAATTACCCACAATAAATTACCCCAAAAAAGCTCCACACCAGACAGACATTTTGAACATGTAATTCTCGTTTCCAGCACTTCGTCATGGTATATGGGCATACATTTTTTCAGATTCTGTCACTTAAGTGTCTGTTGGTTCTGTTGGCTACTTCTGTAGCATTTTCTACCCCAAAGGATAACTGGAAACAGCCAGTGCAATAAGATCAAAGACAAGAAGAACCTTCTTAGAGGCGTGATTCAGGGAGAGATATTATCTTTTCTTACCACCCTTTCAATGAGATCACTGCCAGCCAAAATCCTGACCTGCTAATTGGTAAAACTTCATGTTGTGGGGCTGGTAAAAGTCTCTCAATCTCTGAATAACCTCAGGCTCGATTCTTGGGTGCACCCTGCCTTTGGTCTTTCCTAGGCAGTGTGGCTTGCTGCTGCCCTCTGGTTTCTTCAGGCATGGAAATCCCTTGGTCTTGTTGAAGTAGAAATGTTTGTCTGTTACGATCCTCTGCAGTCCCAGAAAGTCCTGGACGCGGCCGAGCTCTCCGGCAGGATCACTGATCAGCTTCTCCCCATGGACAAAGTGTATCTGAGACAAGGGGAAGTAGGACATCCACCGCTCGAGATGCAAGGCATACAGGCCTATCCAGATGGGGCTCCACAAAGCGTTAATCTGTCCCGTAGTCCTGTTCTTGAAAGTAAGCGTCTCGAAGCTGGGGATGTGGGGCGTCTTCGAAATGATCTGTGTGTAGTCCGATATGGCCCTGGTGACGGGGTCTCTCACCACCACGATGAGCTTGATCTCCTTGGACATGGCGTGGATGCGTGCCGGAGTCTCGGCTGCCACAAAGTATCTTGGTGTCTTTTCCATCACAATCTGTCCATCCAAGGCTTTAGGCATCATGCTCCTAGGGAATATCAGGGGGAAGTTCTGTCAGGCGAAGAAAACGCTAAGTGGAGACCGATAAAGAGCAGCACTTTGCAGCGAATCTACAGTATAATACAATTTTACATTTCATTTTACATTTCATGTTTTTCCTTATTTATGGCAAATAAGGCCGCATTTATAAACACCATGTGATTATTAAATGCTTCGCATACAGCATGGCGTGTTTGTCCAACAGAAACGGTAAATGCTGTCTAGTATCCATCTAGAATCCAGGTGCAGAAAATGAGAAACAGCCATTAGGGAGAGCCCTTGTTTTTAAACAGCATACTGAGAACCCCAACGTGCTCTGTCACATTAGCCACAAGCCCTTTCCTCACTCAGAAAAGACATGAGTTGTAAAGATCGCTGCTTCAAGACATGAGCTACATCAATCACTGGAAGGTCCTCACATGTGAGGCAGAACAAATGGACCTAGAGTATGTCCTGCGCGTCTCCACATTTATCCCAGCTAGCAGATGGGACTCATTTACATTAAGTGGCTTGTGGACACCCTGACTCAGATGCACAGCTCAATTAGTCCACCTGCTCTCCCAAGGACTAATACAGCCGACCTCTCAGCACTAATGTGTCAAAGTTACATTTTCTTCGTTTTTTTACAGACTAGCTCAGTAACTTTTAGTAACCTTTACTATCATCTGAGCTACAAATTCTAAAACTCTAACAACCGTAGCATTATCTGCTGAAAACACATTACAGTTCACATGATATTTCATTATTGGAACATATTGAATCACACCAGTAAATTCCTACAAATTTCGCATCACTTTTAAAAGCCATAAATGCTTATAACACAGGGAATTCAACTGCCTTTTCAATGCCTAACATAAACATTTGTGTTATTTCCAGTAGATACTGGACATTGTTTCTCAAATACTTACTTTCCAAAACAAAAAGGGTGACTAGAGAAGACATTTTATTTCCTTTGGGGTAAGACAAAACACCTCCAGAACAAGCAAGAAGCTTGGGCAATATTTATAAATGATTTATAAATTATTCTAATTTATTTATTTAGACATAAATAAGAGATGGGAGGGATGAGCGTTCAGATGCTGAAAAAAATGAAAAACAAACAGAGGCACAGATTTTGATCTTGGTCGTACTGGGGAGACAGTAGGCCGACTGTCAATTTGATGAACCGGCTGGGAGAAGAAGTGCAGCAGCTATTGCTTATGACGTCATCTGGCAAAGGAGGAGATCGCCTTTCAGCACGGCCAACGCCTGCAACACGACTCCCAAATCAAGATGAACGCCTCAGGATCTCTCACACAGAGGTCTCTGACAGTTCCTGGGCACTGGCATTTATCGGCTTGCTCATGCAGACAGTCACTCACTCCAAACGCTTCTTGCTCTGCCCATGCCCATTAACAACCTAACAAGGGTATCCGAGGTGACTGGTAATAATTCACAGATATCTACTCTGCTGGCCAATCTATAGAAATGTCACTTCCTCAGCCCTAGGTGGCCCCTGTCCAGGACCAACTGGCTGATGGAGGATTTCTGGGTTCACGCTCTGATGGCACCTCAGGAGAGAACACCAGGAGTAAAGCACATACACACACACACACACACGTTTGCCATCTAAGGTACAGACATGAACACACTGGTAGAAAATAAAAGAGTCCATTAGTAGGCTTGCTTCAATCAACCTTGAAGAAAGTCCCCACAGCAGATTTTCTGCTTTTGTGTCATTTGTGCTTATCGAACCATTAAGAAAGAAGAAAAGCAACACCGCAGAAGTCTAATAAAGAACCATGTTCTTCAGAGGACAAAAGCAAGTATGCCCATTTCCCACTATGCTGTGTTGCTCATAAGTAATTTTACATCAGACTCAAGTAAACAGTAAATCATCCATCCATTTCAACGAAGGAATATTACCGTGTTTAAGCCAAAGCTACTATTTCAGCCGCTGACTCTTACACTTCAAATTTCAGAGCTTCTAAACTGAAAGCACATTATGACAACTCTGTCTTTCCACGTCCCTCTTCTCTTTCAGGCAGGTTTACCTGCAAAAATATCTTGTACGCGAACTTTTTATTATTCAGCCTTTCCTCCACGCTATATTTTATCGTTCTCTGCCTTTCCGCAGAGGTAAAAACACAAGACCGTTTAGAGGTCTGTAATTACATGAATCTCTGAAGAAGTGGCAAATGCAGTCCTACTAGCATTCAGTGACTATGAGTCACATTAACATGCACACACTCTTATCGCTCTTTCAGTATATGCATATTTTTTATGTATATCTAATATAATGTAGCTTTACCTGCTGATCTAGATGTAATTATATTGATGGATACTAGCCAGCTATTTTATTTAATTAGACATTATACCTTATAACAACGTTATATAAGATGTATTAGTCTAGGAACATTTGATTACATTTCTGAAGGTACTAGTTTAACCACGGCGCATTCTATTTTGAGGTTCATTTTTATTAATGAAGTCAGTTAAACAGAATAATGTTTTTAATCAACAGGTCAAGGGGTTAGCCGGCATGCAGGCTACTGACCCCTACCAGTAATATCTGGAAAATGTCCCCAGGGCTTCATATTTTCAAAAAGGCGTCTTCAAATACCACATTAGAAGCATCCCCTCGTATTTACGCTGCCGCTTGATTAAAACTTGCCGGCAATAAAGCAGCTCTAAGTGTTAAGCAATGCAGAGAGGCACTGTGATCAGGTGCTACATGGTTTTATTAAGTGGTGACCCCGGCCTATCCGGATTTGAGGGGATCATGGGTAATAGTGCTGCTGATTGCCATAGCTCAGGCGCAGAAGCATAGAAATAGTCAATTATTGTGCAGGACTACTTAGATTTAAAATAAGTACACAGTAGAGAAGAATCTGTTACAACTAGATTTTCTTGAGTATAAGAGCTGAATATATCATTTTAAACACTAAAAAGGATAAAACCTATTATACATGAAGGTCCAGTATAGGTCACAATGATAAAATAGAAAGCAAATCCAAAACAATAATTCGATTTAAAAAAATTAATGTAAAAATAAAAATATATATAACAACATTGGGATAAGTAAAAACAGTATGAGAATATAACTATGAATGGAAAGTGAGCAGCGTGGGTGTAGAAAAGGCAGCGACGTCTGGGTGCGAAATTTCAGTAATAAAGTGCAGCACAAGTTCATTATGGCAGCGATGCCCTGATGCGGCGTCGTACCACAGATGAGAGATCACAGAATTCGCAGAATTCACAGAAGTGCAGAAGCTAACAAACCGCAGCGATGCCCTGATGCGGCGTCGTACCATGGATGAGAGATCACAGAATTCGCAGAATTCACAGAAGTGCAGAAGCTAACAAACCGCAGCGATGCCCTGATGCGGCGTCGTACCACGGATGAGAGATGAGAGATCACAGAATTCACAGAAGTGCAGAAACTAACAAACTGCAGTGATGCCCTGATGCGGCGTCGTACCACGGATGAGAGTTCACAGAATTCACAGGATTCACAGAAGTGCAGAAACTAACAAACTGCAGTGATGCCCTGATGCGGCGTCGTACCACGGATGAGAGTTCACAGAATTCACAGAATTCACAGAAGTGCAGAAGCTAACAAACCGCAGTGATGCCCTGATGAGGAATATGAGATGTAGTCCTGCTAATAATTGTTTTACTGAGCCACAGAGTTTATTGGTCTCACAGCCTGATTATGTTTGTTCAAAATAATGGATTTATTATACTTACCATCATTAGTCTGTATTTAAACATTAGAGCAATAAGTTATTATTTTCCATAACACTAAACTCTATTCCTTCATATATTATTAAAACGGCACTGATTATTATCACAGTACTTTCTCAAAGCGTCACCAGAGATGCTATGGAAATAAACAGTATCAGACTCGATCGACCATCACATTAAATTTTATGAGGTAATCCGAAGGGCCGTAAAAACTGCACGATACAGCGTGAGAGTACTTACACTCATGCGAAAACAACTGTGCAGTGATGCACTTCCTCTGTTTACATTCCGATAGCATTTCAAATAAGCACAGCTAATGGACAATAAATCAGCTTAATGTCACTAATGCTGCTTTTGTCTTTAAACCTCTGCTGTTGTTGCCTCTTGTTATCTCTCCCCTCTTGGTCCCACCAGAGTTGTTCTAAAGAGAAAGTAAATATGTTGGCCCTAATTGCGCCATGGCTGGGGCCGCTCCCCTGTCCCCTAAGAGGCCAAATGGCCCCACACTCTGGGCTGGGTATTGATTACGGTGGGCTGTGATAATGCAGGCCTCAGCTGGCTATGGGGGCAGCAGGTGGACGCTAGACGTGGCACGCGGGAGCCCCATCAGCGGCTTGCTGTGCACAAACAGATGCATGGTAATTACTCCATTCCCTGTGTCGGGCACCAACTTTCGCTGGAGAGCATTTTCTTTTTGTATCCATTAATCTTAGGTTGCAGGGTGTGGATCCTTTCATGGACATATAAGGCTAATGCTTATGATTATGCACTGTTCACATGCTGCTAGGAGGTGTCTCCTGTCTGTGATCTCTGGTTAGGGAGTACATGCATGCATAATATGCATCTCCTCATGTATTTACATCCGGACGTTTACGCTTATCAGTAACATGTCAAATGACAATAGAGCGCATTCCTGAAAAATAGTAAAAATTGAGAAGTAACAGGATTTTTATCAAAGATTAATTGAACTGATCTTTATATCTGATGATAAAAAAAAAACGACTTTCAGAAGAATATCAGTGCAGCAAATTTGTGTATATAGTTGGGCTAATGATATGCGCTTGTATGTGCATGTATGCGTGTGTCCGTGTGTGTGCTTCTGTGAGGGGGTGTGATTAGGTCCAGCCAACCATTACAACTGCACTATAGCTATTAAAAAGCCAGTCAATTGTAACTGTGCCCTGTCCACTTCCAGCTCACATCCATCATCAGGAACCCCTCTGATGCTGTCTCCCCTAATTCCCGGTGGTACTTTAATGAGGGCTGAATTTAAAAACAGGCTGTCTGGACCTTATGGTGATCTTGCAAAGTACTGAGCAGCTCTAGCTACAGGACACAACTGTCCATCATTTCGCCATCCCTCCCATGAAGATCACCCTGCTTCCTGTACTTTGACAAACACTATACATTTTTTCCAGCTACTGACACAAAGGCTGCATTCTTTCTCAGGTTTACTCAAATCTGCTCTCAAGGCCACATGCATAATTTTTACAGTGTACGGTATGCCAGTAATCGTTCCCCTCTTACAATGCATTAGCTTTTAACTGCAGTCTCATTCATTTTCAAAAATTACTTTATGAAATCTTAATAAGGTTTAAAATGCATTTTTGTTATTGATCGTGTTCCAAAGCACACAGATGTTGACATATTCAAACTGTTTTGACATCGTATCGTATTCTATATATCTGAATTTTTTTGTTTGATAATGTGTATTTTGTGACATGAAATACTTTGCCCAGTTATGATTGTAGTCTCTCCGCTGATTATGAGTAACTTATTTTCTGTAAATATGATATCAATATTCTCAACCAGATTTCATGGGCTTTATTGTTGTTTCTCTAATTCAATTGTGAACAGAATCTTAAGTTAAAAACCAAGACATCCAAACCGATTGGTTAAATACATGAAGTTCATATTTTCCATAAAAGCAAAAACTCTGAACTGTCTTGTCCCACTGATTTCCAACTAACTTCTGGCTTTATGACAAGAGAGCAATACATCTGAATACTGTGTTTAAGGTAAATGTGAACTGAATTTAGTGCAGTGCTATGTTCCGAGCAGCGGGGAGAGCATAAAATTGAAATATGACCCTCATCCTCCATCCAGCGATTATGGAATCACAGGATAAAATCCCTTGCTAATTGTAACAAAATCCACGGAGTCTGAGGCTAACTGCTTTAATGCTCATCTCTACTCAAGGTCAAACTGAGGGCCAATCGATGGCGAAACAGTATAAGCACACAACTTGGTTTCATCCTTCCCCCGGCTTGTCGAAGATTCTATCTAAGCACAGACATTCATCTGGGACCTTTTTCTTTCTTCGGGATACAGATCTGTACTGGTGGAACAAAGACCAAATTTAGCAATGACAGTTCATTTTCTGAGTGCTGAGTGCTGCTGCAGCAGGGCTTGTCCCCTGGAGTCACACTCACTGGACCTCTGGAGTTGGCAGATCACATAAAGTGACCAGGGCACATCATTATCTCCCACACAACAAATGACCAGGGTCAGAGGTCAATTGACAGCCCATAATAATGTCAAGCTGGCGTATACTTTGCAGTACATCTCTCGCCGTGGCCCATAAAACGTACTTGGAGTCTTAACTGACCATGGGGCACAATATATACGCTAATACACTATAGCAGAGTTCTCTTAATCAGAAATCTATCAGTGTTATTGTTGCTAATGAATGAATATTGTTCAAGTGATATTTACCTCTTCATAACTGCTGCATATGTGATATATACTTTTCATGACTACCGATTCCAATGCATTCAGTGTTGATATACTATATATTTAATAAAGAAAACAACCAATATATCAACTTATATTTCTGTTTTTCAAAGAAGTCCACAGTGCTTTTTGTGTATGTGTTCTAGTTAATTATAACAAAGTATGTGTTTGACACAACGATCAGTCAGTCAAAGCAAATAATTGGATTCTGTCCACTCTCCAGACAAATCTGAAGGCTCAGGTGACAAATTAGACCCAAGTTACACACAGATGACTGTATTTGGGTTGCAGACAGAAATGCACCCAGTCTTATTACACTTATGATATATTTAGTGTCTTCAAATATCACTGACCTCAGGGTAAATGCACAAGATGCTGTATACATCATGTAGGATTTGCTTTTGTGAAAGGTTCTCTAAATCAGTGGGATGAGGGACTGAGCCACAATACTTGCTGCATCTATGCATCAAGCTTGTAGGTGGACAGATTACTGATGTGCACGAGAAAGGAAGTCTACGGAATTAATAGACGTTCCACTGATATAATTAATATTAATATCCCAATTTATAAAACGTGCTCATTTAATAAAGACATCTGTGGTGAACCACGTGCGCAGCATAAAATATCGCTTATCCTCATCATTCAATGACGTAAAGTAAAAGTGAAACTTTATGCAGAAGGAAACTGAACTATCTTTTAAATTTTTAAAATGCTACTTAGTTTTAGTTATCATCTTAATTATTATTTGTGAAGTACATCATTGTTGAAATCGTGCTTATAGTATATGGGAGTGTTAATTAAAACATTTATAATGCATGATAAGGGTGCAAAATCTGGCAACGTACTATTACAAAAAGAAGAAAAAAAATCCTTTGGGAATAACTGTCGCAGAAACATACGCAATAATTGGAATATTTTACTGAGCAATTATCAGCAGTCTTCAATAAATATAATATGAATACGGTTAGAAGCATTACCTGTACCAATTAAGTCCTCGTGCGTAATGCCTGTCAAAGAAATGCGGCTCCGACCCCAGCGCGCGGACGTCAGGATGAAGCCTCAGAAACTCCAGGAGGGCTCGGGTTCCCCCCTTTTTGACACCTATGATAAGAGCTTGAGGGAGCTTCCTGGTCGCTGTCCACTCTCTCCCCAAACTTTCGAAACTTGGCGCTTTGGTGACCTCAGCACTGCTGGCCTCCGCAGCCGCGCTGGAGGCAGTTATCAAGCGCTTGGGATGCGATCCGTTCTTTGCTTGGTACCATCCGGCAAAGAGAAACTGACTGGAGTGCCTTATATCGGAGTTTTCCAAAACTTCTGAGTCGCAACAACCGACCAGAAAGTAGAACAGAGAGACGCATACGATGCCGAGGAAAAACATGACCAGCAGCTTCTGCAAAAGTCTCCGAAAGTCCAGGTGAAGGTGTGTAAAACTTGCCATCCCTCTAAGCGCAAGCAGAAGGAAGCCATTATATTAGAATTGGACCTTGAGCGCTCTAAATTGTGATGCGTACTGGCATAGTTCTGCAGTATGAAACACATATCCATGCATCGTGGCATGCCCCAAATTTTTAAGATCAAAAAAGCCGACGACTTGCCGCATTTCCACCGTTAGGTCAAACACATTCTCTGACTACCTGACTCTACAGTTATGGTTGTTCCCCGAGATGTTTCTTAAATATCAACGGTGCCTTCAGATCGCGGGAGTTATGCTTCCAATGCTGGTCAGCCAGTTTTTATACGTCCCTCAAAAATGACATTTCCGACTTGCTCATTCATGAAAATACGCCGATGCTGCGCCCAGCATGCATTGATTGGAGGGACGTGGAGAAAGGCGGGACCCACGTCGCTGTCGGAGAGCTGAGAGAAGTGTCCCATTGCGGAGCCAGTGCTATCAGACTGGCTCCTTCTGTGAACAAAGTAAAATACCTAAATACACCTGCAGTGTACGTTGACGTTTTTTTATTTAGCAACCGCTTTTGTCCAAAACAACACCGGCGAGGCAGATATAACATCACAAGCGTACATCGGTCAAGGTGCCAACTTAGGCGTACTGTAAGTGCAGCTGAGAGAAAGTTACGCGGTTTATACTGCATGTAGTAAAATAGTGGAACGTTATACACCACTGCAATCAGTAATTGCTTTAGTTATTACTTATTGTTGTTTATCACGTTTTTATTGTTGTTGGTGAATATTATTGTTGTTATGGCCCGCGATGGACTGGTCCTGGATCCTTGTGGTCTGTGTTTTCTGGAATAACAAGGTACAAAATAACCCAGAACACTGCAGAATAACATTTTTTAATTAAACAGAGGATAGAAATATCTTTGTACTTTATTGATTGAAAATTAAATGGTCAGACAATAAAAAAACGGATTGTCCTTCACAATTTGAAGATGACAAAGAAGCTTTTTATGAACACGTGGTCCCATCCCAGAAATTCCATTACCGTATACAAATAGAAGTACCTATCTGGAAATATTTTAAAATGCATTAAAATCTATTTGATACACAATTTTACGATGCACTAAAATATTGACTTGAATTTTTTCAGTAAGTCCTCGATGCCATTAAATCTCGTGTAGGAAATGCAGAAAGTGTGCCCTGATATGGGAAAATAATTACTTATGCTATGAGCTTTTGCAGACGTGGTGCATTGTCATGGCTGGATATAGGGAAAATAGATCCTTGATTAAGTTCTATTTTTAGTATGTTGCATAAGGATCTTGCAGTTTGTCCTAGGAACAAGGTACATTCGCAGTGTATGTATTTGGCAGATGCTTTTGTCCAAAGTGATGTACAAGTGAGACAAATAAGGAGCTGATCAGGCATAAGTGCATCTAGACTGAGCTTCCAATGAATGTTCAGGTACCACTGTAAGCAGTAATGGAGCAGGAGCTACACAATAACTGCTAACAAAGAAACCAATAAGACTATTCAGCTTAAGATTTAAATAGATATTCTCTGCAGAATTCAAGGGCCAATGCTGTATTACATAAATAAGCCAAACTGATTAGTAAGATCTTGCAGAATTTTCAATAGTTGGATTAAATTCTTCAATTCTAGTTAATTTTTTTTCTCTAAAAATGACCTGATTATCTTATAATAATGTACTGAATACTATAGGTGTCATGTCCGGATCGTTCCGATCCTCCTGTGTGCCACGGCCCCTCATTTACCTCGTGTGGAATCCTCTTGTTATCAGCTGTTTCTGTAGTTGTGTTCATTGATTCTGTGTATTTAAGTGAGTTTCTGTAAGTGATTACCCAGTCCGGTCATTAACGTCACTAACATCATAATGTCGCTTTTGCCTGTTCCGTGTTCTGGTGTGTGTTTTACCCCAAATAAACCCCGTCTTCACCCGACCACCTGGACTCCTGCTTCTGTGCCCCCCCCCCCCCCCCCCCCACGTCCCTGTGATTCGTGACAGTAGATACTACTGAGAGCTTTTTGGTTAATTTAGCTACTGCAACCTATTGGAAGGTGTTTGTAATAGTTTATGCACTCAAGCCAAGTCCAGTTGGTTTGTCTTTTAGAACTTGCAGGAGAGCAGGCATAGGAACAGATAACATTTCTGCTGTACATCACCACAAGGGTAGATCAAGAGCAAGGCAATCTTCGAGGGACACACTCTGTAATTAAGCCTAGCTACAGAAGGTTTTCTCAGCAATTGCTTCCCTAAAAGTTTCTTCGATGATGAACACACCTGCCTGCGGCTTTCCTGATCACTCAAGAGTCTCCATTTCAACCTTACTCCTTTTGTGCCTTTACCGACCTTGTGCCTTTCATCTGCTCTTTACGCCTCTTCCACAGATCTGCTAAGGTCCGCTTCCTGCGACTGAGTCCAAGTTGCTGTTCATTCATCCGAGGCCGAACCGATGAACAGAATACCAGACTTTGCTATAGCCTTGATGAGATTGAATCTCTAGCCTGGTCTGGTTGTGGACTGACCCATTTGTATTCCCAAACATCTCGGAGAGTATGGTATTTACAACAAAGACCTGACCAGACTGTTGCCACCGCTCATGCCTTCACTGATACCATTGAGAAACTTACCTGCAGGGTACGTTTATAGTTTCAAGTTTATAACAGCGCATAAAGTCTTGCTGTGCTTAGGACCAAGGGCGTATATTTGAGTAGGAACATGTCACTACCAATATGACGGGCAAACCATGTGTTTAGGGGGTGGGGGATTGGGGGTTAATTTGGTCTCTACCAGTGTTGAAACCAAGCCTGCACCCTTGATTTGTACATCTTTTTTAACCAGAGCTTGTCAACCTGTGGACAAACATGCCTGTATCAAGACCCATCTGTGTCTGTGGCAAAATGTTTTGACTTAGAAAAAAAACTACATAGACTACATTTTAAAATATGATGACCATTGTAAAAAAAATGTGTGTCTGTCAGAATTCGCCATGGTGTTGAGCCCTGATTTGAACACCGAGGCATCCTGCGTTTTTCAGATCAAATGCATAAACATTCACGAGATGGTCTTCTTTGGAGAATGTTCAGCTTGTCTCCAAGTGATCATGGAGATCAGTACTGAATGCTGTACAGCTGCAAAAATACAACTCCAGATGAGTAACGCTTATAACATGGTAACAGTGCATACTCAAATACTCAAATGTAAACTAATGCACAGATAATGTATAAATATTAATCCATAGATGTAACGTTTCTTGCACTAAACTGCACTCACCTTAAGCAATGCTTAATGGAATTGGGAGGAAAAAATGGAAATTACGTTATTTTCCTAGTATGATAGCAGAATTGCTTTTAGTGAACTGAAGTTGACTGGGTCAGGCTATTGCAATCTAATAGTAAGTCTGGAACATCTGACATTCTCCTCTATAAACTTCTAATGGGTACATTAAGACATATTGCCTTCTTTTTCATTGGCCCCAAGCACAGCTTTGTGGCTCTAATGCATCAATGTGCAGGCAGTGTCTCAGCACAGGGAGTCGTTACTGTGTATAGGGCCCACCTAAAATTACAAACCTGCACTGGCAAGTCGCAAGAGCACAGTATACTGAAGTTGAATCAATAGAGGGAATAACTCTTACCACGTTGCAGTTTTTGTTAAACAGTTCATTAGGGAGACATAAAATCACCGCCAATATCCAAAAGTAATTTACCTGGGCGCAAAGCATTCTCTGCTTTATGAGAGAAAGCCATTTGCCTTTCATTTTGTGTGTTGTGTCTCATTTGATTTATGCTTTCTATCTGTCAATAGCCCTAGTGCAAATATTACCAGCACTTAACTATCCGACTATGGTAACAGACACTTACAACGCAGTGCTATTAAAACCTGGGCAAAATCTGAATTTTCAACAGCAAAACAAATGAGTAGCAGCAAGATGAGATCGTTGCACAAATTATTGATGTTATGTATTGCGATGTATAAGCAATATGATTACCAAAGCATAAATGAATGTGCTAGCTCAAAGGCAGTAAAGAAATCTGTTAACTGTGCTACAAATAAGTACAGTATATGTAATGCCTTTGTCTTCTGTGGTTGGTGTCATTTGTGTAGTTGAGTAAATCAGCAGGTAATAGATCTGTTGAGGATGCGTTCTGTTACACATGGAAATTTTTTGGCCCTCTGTTCAATGGCAGCAAATCTGCCGAATCTTTTGTGCAATGTGTCTCTTTTGGATAGTGGATGGTATGTGTGTTGGTGGGGAGGAAGAGTATGACCTATGGAAAACACAGGCTGTTCCCAGATCAGCCAGCCTCTTTCCCCAGGGAATGTTATTTTAAAGAGGAAAAGAGGAATGAATCATTGATGGGAGGAGAAAGTAAAGTTGCGCCCTAAGGATATATTAGGCCGTTTTATGACCCACTTGTAGGCCTTATATACATATGTAACTGTGTATTTAGAAGCTATCAATAAAAGATTGTCCACTATTATTTCCCAACACAAGAATGCACTTAATATTTAATCTTTATTCTAAAATTCCTTTTAAAAAGCCACAAGAAAAATACCTCTGGGTCAGAGAAAGTTGAACACCACAAAGATAATACATCCATTGTAAGAATAATATAATGTAATAAACGACAAAGTACAACTAAGTGAATCTGAAAAAAATGATGAATTTCCTTCCCTATCGAACAATTCAGCGAATGTGGTAGCACCTCTATAAAAGGTACAGCATAATAGCGTGCTTTCTGGTATAATGAACATAATCAGCCATTAAAGCAGGCTTTTTGAAGATTGGATTTCAAATGGAGTGCATCATTTGCATAATTTGGAGGCATTTCATCTTGCCTGGAAACAAAGCCAAATAGCTAGAATAACATATTTCCTAAAAGCAATATCTGGAAATAAGCACAGCCTAATGTTTCCCTTCGGGATCATTGCCGTACTTATGAGGATCACATAGCAACTAATAAAAAGCATCGACGTCAGAAGTAACTTTATGAATTTTGCCATCCAAAGTATGTGCTCAAGCCACATGGGCCAGCATGTCAGTGACTTTTATACCGCTGATGTTATCGCTGTACGTATTGATCACTTTCAGTCATTTTCATTTGTTACGTTAATAAAGTGTGTGAATTATTTCAGGCAGGCCAGTCAATGCGACGTGCATCCTGCAGGAGGGATCTGAGTCTGTATTGCATCAGGTAAGCAAATCTCATCACTCTACAGTAATGTCTGCCATTTGCTGAGCATCTACAGGCCTATGGGTGAAACTGAGCAAATAGCTCCCTCTATCAAGTGTCTAGCATTTTCTAATGAAGCCCCGAGTATTTTAGCCCCTTCCTTCTTCCATCTTC